CCTACTGGTTTTTCAGTTGTGGGGGAAATCAATTTTTGACTTGAATGGGACTGTTTAATATGCAAATGTAGGACATATTTAAGTCAAAAATTGATTTCCCCCACAACTGAAAAACCAGTAGGCCAGGGATGGGGAACCTTTTATGGCTCACTCAGGAATTCTAGGAGTTGAAGTCCATAAGTGATGAAAGAGCCAAGTTTCCCTACCCTTGGTCTAGGCAATTATACAAAATAAGTGATTTCCCCTTCACCAAACAAGAAACACTCATGTAAGGCTTCTCACAGACATTTTGCTTCTACTTTTAGCAGGAAGTATGCTTCTCCCAAAAGACCACTATGAAATAAAAGTTATTTCTCAAAAATGTTCACAAACTTAAAATAATTAGAAAAAGTTAACTGTGTTCAAAAGTCCCTATAACACAGGGATGTCAAACTGGATTTCATCGAGGGCCAGATCAGCATTGTGGTTGTCTTCTGGAGGCTGGAGGAGGGATGTAGTCACAACTGACTGGGCATGGCCTGGGGCTGTGGCCAACTTGACATCACTCGTGTGGGTGGTGCCTGCAGGGGCTGGGTGGGGTTAGGAAGGGAATCCAAGGGTCTCTGGTGGGTGGGAGGCTTGCCCTGCAGGATGAAGTGAGGCAAGACAGGGGCTGGGGCAGCTACAGCTGGAAACTCAGACACCATGTACTCGCTGCCCTTTGTGTACAGGGAATGGTTTCTGGCTGTACCCGCAGCCTGCTCGCTGTCAGCTAGCTAGCTAGAAAGGCTGCGGTCCCGAGGTACGTCGGGTGCATGAGAGTAGTGCTCCCCCAGAAAGCCCAGCAGGAAGAGGGGGAGGGCACAGTGCTTCCCCGCCTGCTACCAGACCCAACACACAGCACCCGTCTAGGCTTCCCCAAAGCATGGAGGGTGGTAGGATAGGAAGTGGCACCCATTCCAAGGGTGGAGGAAGAGGGCCTTTCTGCAGGAAGTGGACCTTGAGCTCTGGGATCCGGATTGGGCAGCGGCCCTGCCAACTTGCCCTGCTACCCCTAGCCACCCACCACTTACCGGGCACCTTCATGTGGCTGAAGTGTCCCTGTCCACACAGGGGTGCCTCTTTATAGAACAGTGAAGGCTCACTGGTGAAGTCTCTGCTGCCCCCCCCCCGGGCTTGTCGGGGAAGGTGTCCACAGAAGAAACAGGGTGGGTAGAACCTGTCACCAGGGTTGGCCTACCTCATGGGGTTGTTGGGAGTGCCAGAGAGCAGGATCTATACAGCTCTGGAGGGTGAGGGATGTGTGGCCTGGAGCACCTGTCAGCGGCTCCTCTCACCTTGCACTTACCCTCCCAAGCTTCCAGCAAAAGTGCTTGAAAAGGCCAAGCTGCACCTTCCGGGAATGCCAGTCAAGTGGGGAATTTGCCTGCAATCCTCAACTTGGAGCGGAGATGTGGCAGGCAGCTGCAAGACAGAAGGCTGCCTTCATACAAAATACAAGCCCTCCTTGCCTGGTGAAGACATGGACAATGAGCCCTCATTATGTTGCCTCTGTGCCCTCATGATTGATAAGGTGGCATGGTGTGCACAGTGGTCAGGCAGATGCTGCTGCTGTGGGCAAGCCAACAGGAAAGAGAGAGTGGAGGGGAAAAGCGTACAGCTCCCCAAAGCCCACTTGCCCCTTGTTCTCTGGCCAAGCCAAGCACGGCTGCTCCGGGCGCAGTCTTGGGGCTCCCTGGCAGCTACAGCATGCCCCACCTCACCCACTCCCTGAGTGGGGAGCTACTGCCAAGCACAGAGTAGGCAGGGGAGCGTGAGGATTGAAGGGCAGCAGCCAGAGGGGCAGGGCAGCCACCCAGATGGAGGGCTGGTGTGGTGGAGGTAGTGAGGTTTCCTCCTCCTGGAGAAAGCGAGCCACTGATGGATAAGGCCTCACGTTTGACACCCCTGCCATAACAAGATTAATTTTGAGACTTCTCAGACACTCATACCATAGCAAAACTAATTACTTGCTGTTGACAGATGAAACTTTATATTAGATTCTTTAATTCTTGTAACTAAAGATATTCATGAAAGATATTAATGAAGTAATACCGTGTTTCTCACAAAATAAGGCCGGGCCTTATTTTTTTTTGAGCCCTGAAAAAACGGCTAGGCCGTCTTTTTGGGGGTGACTTAATTTTCCCCCCCCCTTGCATCCTTGGGCGGTCAGCAACGGCTTGGATGTTGACCTCGGCATCCCTGCCTGGCGCCGAGCAGAGCATGAAGAGCTTCGCCTGGGGCGCCCAGCACACGTGACAGATAGGCCCTCCTGCCCAGCGGCGGAGCTCTTGCCAAGGCAGCAAGTGCCTCCCTGCTGGGCCCTCCGCTTATCCCGCCAGGGCCGCGCCAGAGCCGTG